TTATGATATTATTTGTGGTTCAACGCAATAAGGTGGAAATGTGGTGTTTGTGCGAACAACTGAATCGAATTTTGTTGAAATGATAATGTATTTACATCGAAGAGAGAAGTATCGATGTTAAATTGTGAGCAATGGAAATTATGAGTTAGATCAATAATGATACGATAAAACAGTTTGCATCACTTTTACTCTCTGGAATTGACCTCTTGAAACGATGATGTATCTATCTATCCTGTATGTACAATTTCTGAGTTAAATATTAAAAATGAGGTGTTAAAGAAAATAAAAGATTGTGGAAGTTCAGAAGTTTATTTTTCTTAATCTTGACTTGTTGCGTTGACAGGATAATTTAAATAAATTAGAGGATAGGTTTTTTATATATATATATATGTATGTATAAATTGGTAGTTGAATTTTAGACTGAGAAGCATCAGATATCAAGTGAAACAATCAAAATCTTAATTTTGGAAAATATGTACAAAATAGTTTGTTTTAGAAATCTCTTTTGTTCAAACAATCTATGTTTTTTTACACTTTTCTAAATATTTCAAGTATCAATCAACTGTCTATCTTGATTTGTGTTGACAGAGGATAGATTTTTCTATACATAAGTTGATGATAGTTTTTACACTTTTCTGAATATTTCAAGTATCAATTATCTACGCAATTCCATTAACGAACGTCACCGGTCAGAGATATATTATGCAGAAACAAAAGTAATATAAATACACAATTTACAAAGATACAAAACACGGAAGAAATAAAGTTTCACAAGCCGCGGATCGAATATGTTTGCGGTTTAGAAATGCAATAATGATGTAATAATGCTATATTTCATTTACATTAAATTTAATTTTAATTCGTTCAAATCGATAATAATACTCTGATAGATTACCATTTGAATAAATTATCGTACTACATAGAATCTTTAAATTGATTGAAATTGTTTATTCTTAACAATCCTTTTAATATTTCCTTCTAATTCTATTTTGATTTATAAATAATTAATAATTACATTATTTATAATTAATCGTTATAATTAGAATTTTTCAAATTGTACATTAAGAATGTTTTAATAACATAATATGTATAGCCTTGATTTGTTTTTAATAAGTTTTTTTTATTAACATTTTATTAACATCCACTTAAATATGCATCTATCGTATAATCGATCGATTTAAATGCAAAATTTCTTATTAAACGTTGATACGAGAACACAAACATGTAATTATTCTTCATTATTTAAAATTATTAAGATCAAATTTTAATAATATTTAAACAAAAATTTTTTTTTTTTTTATATTATATAATGATATTTATATCTTAAGATTTTTCTTCCTTCAATGTTCAAAAAATGGAAAATAATTTTCTTATAATTAATATATAAACAAACGTTATTAAATTTAAAAAAAAATGTTGTTTTATCGTTCCTTGTCGTTAATTGAGATAGATCAAGGTTAAAAATTATATTTCTTTCTACAAATACTTAATAATGCGATCAACTGATGTTTTTCTACGTTTTTTCTTTTTTTTCTAGCCTAATGGCACTTCTAGTTCCTGTAATCTTCGCCGTTTTACGTAAGTATTTCTTTATAATATCATCGTCTTTAATCTTTAATAATTAATTTTATTTTAAAAAATAGAAGGATCTCTATATTGATTATATATTATTAAGATATTTTTATATCATTATATATTTTCTATATTCATTCGTTTGAATGGCAAGTGGCAATAAAATTATAGCAGATTATAAATTATGTTATCCATCTTTTTTTTTAACAAAATTATTCACGAATAATCTTAAAATAGATTCTATTCTTTATCTGTTAAAAATTCCTTCCATTTTTAGCATTAAACCATTTATTTTTATTTCGAATTGATTACGTATTACAAGCTAATTTTGACGTCGGTCAAATGAATTAATCTCGAGAGTTTGTTATCACAGACAGAGATCTTCGTGAAAAGATTTTTGAGAATCGATTGCAAAATTTCGATTTAGTAGCGATTCTTCGAGAAAAATAGAAGTATGTCGCGTGCATTTTAAACATGGTTTCGACATTGTATCGTGCCACTTTTCAAAGAGGAGAGGGCCACGACCTTAAACTCGTTCGATGCAAGATCGCCAATCCGATGCACTATTTTTTCACAAATCGATTGAATGGAATTCGTGAAAATTTGAATTTCGAAAAAATTAAATAATGTAAATATTTTAAAAAATAATCAAATTCCGAATCACGTGCTTGAAATTCTATCTATTATCTTTTTTAATTAAAAATACGTGAATAATATCAATATTATTAATCAAAATTGTATTTCTCGAATTTTTCTACATTTTACGATATCGTTTGTGATTATCTTCATGCTTCGAAAATCAAGAAAATTTCCATTAAAAAACGAATCATTAACTTGCAATTTTACTAATTTACCATAGAAATTAATAAAAAAATTCATCGTTCAAAATAGTATCAACTTCAACAAAATATTATTATTCATCTCTTTTCTCATCCTCCTCCTCTATAATTTTTTAATTTCCCTAGATTTCCTTAATTTCCTTCTTGTGCTCCAAATCCATCTCTCGAATTCTCCCTTTTTCACTTTCAATTTCCTTTTTATCTGTCCAACCAACCAAAGAAACGGATAATTAGTCAATTAAACAATTGAATGGCACAGCGTCGTACATAAAACCGTGCAAGAAGAGAGATCCGGACATAAACGAGTGCATCACGAGATCGATCGATCAGCTTCGCGACAAATTATCGGCTGGAATACCGGAATTCGAGGCGCCACCCATCGAGCCCCTGTACCTCAAGCAAATTCGCCTGTCCAGGGGACCGGTTGGAGCAAGACTTGACGTCAATCTCACGGATTTGCGGGTAAATTTGTGGAATGAGATCGTTCCACATTGATCGACATTACTCTTTTTTATAATTTGAAAAAATATCTAAATATATTTACTCTCACAATATTGCCCACAAGTATTTCGAAACGCGAGAGAATAATAAAATCGATATATAATGGGATCGACTAAAGAATTTTTCTTAAATATTGGAAAAAAGGGAACTAATAAAGGATTAATAAAAAAAAGATCGTGTTACGATTGATTGATAAGTTTTTTCGTGGAAAAAAATTTGGATTTCTGGAGCAATAAATGAGATACGATAATGTGACATTTCCTGATATTTTCTTGTATTATTTTTATTTTACAGGTGTTCGGTCCATCCACATTCAAAGTTCGAGATCTCAAAGCGGATGTCGAGAACGTGGTCTTCACTTTCAAGGTCAACTTTGAGAAACTCCATTTCCAAGGGAAGTATCAGATCGACGCGAGGGTGCTTTTGCTCAAGCTGACGGGGGAGGGAAACATCACTGGAACCTTTAGTAAATAAATTTCTTTTTTTCTTTTTTTTCTAAACCGATTTAACGGTTTTTAGAGTTTTCTATTTTTTTTTTTGCTCCTAATGAATATTTAATTTTTCACCTCCGTTTTTTTTTTTTTTTTTAAGCCGACTATGATTCAGACGTCGTTTTACGGGCGCGCAAAGTGTACAGAGACAATGATATCTATCTCAACTTTGAAAGAATGAAAGTAAAGATCAGGATTGGCAAAGCACACTTGCATCTTAGTAATTTGTTCGGCGGTGACACTGTTCTTGGTAAGTTAATTATAATTTTTCGAATAATCTTCTTTTTTTTTTTTTTTAATAATAAGTTAGATTCTCAATAAATTAGAAAATAAGTTAGAAAATCTCGTATCTATTTTATTTTAAACTATAATTCAAATTATAGTTTAAAATAAAAATGATAATCGCAATTGAATTGTGAAATTTGATTGAAAGATTAATAGTTAATGTATAATTTCATTCATTTCTTTCTTTCTTTTTTTTTTTTTTTTTTTTTTTAAGCTGCAGCCACCCATGATCTGTTGAACAACAACAATGCATTATTCTTGGACGAGATCACTCCAGTATTGGAAACATCCTTGGCGGATCTTTTCACAAACGTGGCCAACAAGATCACAAAATCTTTCACGTACAAAGAACTGTTTCCAGATGATTGAATCTTCCTTCCATTCATCCTTATCTTCGTCTTGTAAAAATTTGTACAGTTGCATTTTCTATTAATTTTTCAAACGGGTTTTCATAATTAACATATAATCATACGTATACTTAAATTTTGTACAATCGAAGGGAAGATTTTAAATTATAATATGTATAAAATTTGTTAAGACAATTTTAGCAATTTGTTAATTTTATAATTAAAAGAATAATATTTATATATATATAAAGAGAGAGAGAGAATTAAATGTACAATATATTTTGTACATAAAGTTTGTAAAATTATTTGGTGTTTTGAATATAGTATGAAAATAGAATGTACATTTCTATGTAATATTATAATAAAAATGAAATAAGATTTATTGAAACATTTATTCAATTTATAATTAAAACTATTATTAAACCTGATTGGAATATAATCATGACAAAATTACAAATATAGTTGATTATTTTCTAGCTTTTAAAATCATACTTTTTCGTGTAAAAAATAGATAAATAATTATTGTCAATCATTTAATCACTGTCAATCATTAATCACAAATTTTCCTTTTTAATAATTTTAAATGAAAAAAATTTACAATAAAAACATTTTTCCCATAAGATATAAAAATATGAAAAATTTAAGAATACTAAGTTAATTATTATAAAAATTAATATATGATTACACAACAATAAAAATAATTAAAGCGAGAATTATCTATCCATTTTTAATTTATCATTATAATACTATTGTAATGATCAATCATACTATGATGCATTTTAATATATATACCATGTATCAAAACTATTAAAAATAGATCTACTATCATTATCATAACGATTTAATTACTTATAAGTACGAGAAAAATCGAAAAAGAAGATTTTCTTTTTTTCAACACGTTTCTATTCAATTTCTTTTCTTTTCTTTTTTATTTTCAACATCGAGCAATTGTATACAACACGAAGTTTCAAAGTTTAATTATTCTTTACTGTTTTTAACACGAAAAATTTCTCATTCCTCGCAATCATTTATCATTTTTAATCCACTATTCAATTATATACAATATATTTCATCTGTGTGAAATATCACGATATTATTGCACTAATTTATTATCTCTCCTTAACGAAACGTGTCGAACTCATAATTAAACTTCTTGCATCTTAATCTAACAGACTAGGGAAGCAATTCTTGTTTCGTGAGAACGCTCAACGCTCTCGCGACCAATGCTCTGCTCACGGTCGCCGCTGTGTCCTCGATAATAGGACTGGCTATGTCCAGGACTAATCGTGGATTCGAGTTGAAGAATGTTGCCGCGGCCTCGGCTGGAAAGGAAGAAATTCAATGGGGAGAAGAGCGAGAAAAGATTGGGCAAAATAATTAAAGCAAAAGCCTTTTCACAAACGTGTGAAATTGTTTGTTGAATTTTTTTGAAAGAAAAGATCAATCGAAACTGGAAGAAGAACTATCATAATATTTTTAAGATTAATATCAGAAGAAAAAAAATTCGATCGAACTTACCCGCTGCACTATGATTGGGAGGTGCTTTCAATTCGATGTTTCCATTTTCAACCCGAATTTTCGTCACCAACTTGTCGATCTCGATCTTTTGCACCCCCTTCGCGTCCGTCACTTCCTTGCCCTGTGCCTGCACGTCCACCTTCGTGTCAGCTTCGTGCCGGAAGAAAAGAGGATCAAATTAGAAGAAACACTCTCTATTTATCTATTTCCTTACATCAAGCACCCCTTTATATTCTTTCTTTTACCACTACGATTTCGTTCTCTGTCCACATAACATAAGGATAAAAATTTCACTCACTGAAATTCCCTCTGAAGTTACCAGCCCCGTTCAACGGAAGCAGTAGCAGCCTTCCCTGAACGTCGTAGTTGCCGTTCATGTGCACGTGCGGCAGTCGAACCTTGATGTTCACCGACAGATCGTTCGGGTTCGCCTTCAAATCGTCGATCGCGAAATTCGTTGCGCCATAAACGCGGATCTGGCTCATGTTCGCCTTGATCTTCAACGTCTCCAGGTTTCTGTCCACCGTCAACGAGGGTAGGAAAAGCGGGTCCAGGGCGGGCAGCTTCAAGGAGGGGATACCGTTGGCCAGGTAAGGGGTTATGGCGTTCAATTGTTGGAGCACGCACACGTTGTATTGTATCAAGTCGTTCGTTCGTGGACACGGCCTTACACCAGGCGCTGGGAACAAGAAAAGTTTTTTATGAACGGGAAAGATTGAAAAGGGAGGAATTTTTTTTTTTTCTTTTAAAATACTTCTTGTAAAATTAATATTAATATGGGGTCAGTTCGTAAGTTTTTACGAATGGAAAAGATTTTTTTCTTTTAAAATATGTAAAATTAATATTAATACGTCAAAACGTATTTGTAATTTCGTTTTTATGAATGGAAAAGATTGAAAATTTGGAGAAACTTTTTTTTTTCTTTTAAAATACAAAATTAATATTAATATGGAGTCAGAACATTCGTAAGTTCATTTTTATGAATGGAAAAGATTGAAAATTTGGAAAGGAACTTTTTTTCTTTTAAAACATGTAAAATTAATATTAATAAAGGGTTAGAACATTGTAATTTCATTTTTACTAATGGAAAAGATTGAAAATTTGGGAAGGAACTTTTTTTCTTTTGAAACACGTAAAATTAATATTAATATGAGGTTAGAACATTCATAAGTTCATTTTTATGAATGGGAAAGATTGAAAATTTGGGAAGGAACTTTTTTTCTTTTAAAACACATAAAATTAATATTAATACGGAGTCAGAACGTGTTTGTAAGTTCGTAAAGAGAAATATTGAAATATTTGTAAGTATAATAGTAATTGGAATGGAAGGAGAACTGGAAGGGAACAGAGGAAGAAACTATCGAGGTTTCTCTCCCTATCGAGTTTCGCAAAGTTTCTAAAAGATTGGAATTTTCGTTCGAGTTACCAAAGTTCCCTCATTAGCAAAACTTCCTTTTACCTTGCGAAAGGGGTCCTGTGGCATTTCGATCCAACCAGTGAAAACCACACTGCTCGCGTGTTTCTCTAAAGCCTATAATTATTTTAGCTGCACTCGGTTTCAACAATTTGAATGACCTGCTTTCCTTTGCTTAAACGACCAGTTAAATATCTAACAAAATTAATCTTTCTATTTTACGTTTGTTTTATTATACTAAACGTTTTATTGTAGTAATTACTTATTCATTAAGTCGTATCATTAAGTCGTAATATTCTTTTTAATTCAAACTCGTAAATTATTCGCAATAAAATAATTTTGAGATTATATTTTTTACATTTCCTCTATTTTATAATGTATATTCTCTTTCTTGTACCATAATTTTATACTTCTACTTTTTCTTATCTACACATACACCAAATTCAATTTCAAACGTTCCACAGAATCCAGAAATTTATCACGGAAAATTTAATTTTTTTCGTGTAAAAATCTATCAAAATTTTTACATTTTTTTTTAGTGAAAAGTTGGCTACCTATACGTACACATATGTGCATAAAAATCGCGAAACGGAAATCGGCGAACGAGATCAACGTACCAGATCGAAGCGTTGGGTTACTGAACGATCAACGATGATGATTAAAGAGTCACGGTAGAGCGGTTTTTTTTCTGGTTGGAGGCCAAATCTAAAATCGAAAGTGGATACACGCTCGATAGAAAGTGAAATTACGCTCGTTTTTTTTGCGACCGTAAAGGAATAAATTCTCGGGGATCATCAAGAAGAGAGCACACGTGTTTGAGAAAGGATCCGTGCAATGATCGATAAATCATATCCTATAGCTGAGAAAAGTGGATCTATTCGAGATACGAAGGAGAATCGTTATTTGAGTTTCTTATTCGAAATTTTAAAGGATTGATTGATGAACGAGAGATGAAAGTCGAAGTGTTGTTGAAAGATGATAATGATTTTAATTTGAAGTGTAGAAAAATTGATAGAAGAGGGATGGAAGTCGAGGTGTTCATTCAGAGATGACAATGATTTTGATTTGGAGTGTAGAAAAATTGATAGAAGAGGGAGGAAAGTCGAAGTGTTGTTGAGAGATGATAATGATAATGATTGGAAGAGTAGAAGAATGTGTGGAATTTGTGGAAAGTATATATGTAAATACTTGAAGAATGCAAGTGGCATGCAGATAAACAAAATATCCAATTCTTTAATTTAATTTAATATTTTCTTTACTAATAATAATAATAATAATTTAAAGGATAAAGTAGATTTATATTTCATTTCTAAATAATTGCAAAGTTACTTTTATTATTACGTGAAAAAATTCTTCCTTTGTGAAAGATTTGAAGTTGATTCAATGTTTGATCAATATCGAGTTATCAAGAATAAATTTAATAAAAGAAAAAAAATTCAAAAATTATTAATTATTCGTAAAATATTTGTCATCTAAGTTTTCTATGGTGTACTAAGATTGATTAGAAACCCAATATGGCAAGATGTCAGTAAAGTGTCAGGTTAGCAGCACCTGAGCTTGATTTAAACTATTATGGATCAACGTTACGTTTCAATCTTCTTTTTCTTCGATCGATTTACATAATTGATTTTTGTTTTTTAATGTAACGCCATTATGAAATCGAATCGAGGGATAGTTGATTCGATATTTCGTCATTATCCTTCCTCCTATTTAAATCATACATCATTTGTATTGGCGTTGAAGAAATTGATTTATATGCAATCTGATAAATTATTATTTCTTAATTCTAGTGACTTTTTTTTAAACTTATTATTAATAGTTGAATAAAAATATATAATTCAAACGTGAAAGGAATTCTAATACGAGCTCGATTCCATTTTCTGATTCCCTTTCCCTATGGAAATGGATCGATTCCATTCACCTTAAAAACGACTCTTGAAACCTCTCGATACGTTCGTTGCGTCATATTTTATACAATGTGTCTTTTAAGGTGTCAAGCTTACGCGAGATTGAAAGTTCTTTGACCTATGAATTTTTCAAATATAATTTTTCCCTCAATTTTGCTACACCTTTTTTTCTTCAAATATTTCAACAAAAGGAATTGAAAACAATCCTTGCCAATATTCTTATTTCACAATAATACAGGAAGTGTTTAATAATCTTAAAATCTTTGATTTTCCTTTGATAAATGAATATTTTCTTTAACATTATCCATTATTTTTATAATTAATTATCCATTATTTTCAAAGATTATATCTTGAACCTATGAGAATATCTTGCGAAATCGAAGAGAATTATTTTTATCATGAGAAAGAGAGAGAAAATTCTTCTAATCGTTCCATTCATTCTATAATTTATTAAAAAAAACAAAGAATCATACAAATTATCATCTCACTTAATCTTCTCTCTATCCTTTCAAAAGGAAAAAAATTTCTACAGAAGTACGCAACACAGATCAAGATCAAAAAATAAAATATCTCGAGAGAAATTTGAAAATCCTGAAAAAATTAACTGAGCAAACTTGACGACAATTTAATCTCATCCTCTTCCTATTATTCGAAAAAAAAAAAAAACATTCCAAAATATACATCTCAAAAGAAGTTGAAAAAAAGAAATGAAACTACACAATACACTGCTCGACTTAACAACACTTAATCCCCTTAATCCTCTTCTTAAAAAAAAAAAGAGAAAAATCCAATGGAAAAAATTGGAAAAAACGCGACACACGTGGATG